GCGATGATCACGCTTAAGTTTTTGGGAAATATCTAATGTTTTCATACCTCGTCCAAGGCATTGAACTATTTCACTCTTTTCAGCAGCAGAGAGATCCTTTTTCTTTCCCATATTGCATGAAAATGGTGCTCTGCTTAAAAATGTGGAACACCCTCCTTTAGTAGTTTTTTTCTTAAATTGGGCTCACCTGGCAATCTAATTATCACAGGTGTCCGAGATTGTTTTCAGTGATCAAAAGAGCCCTGAGACACAATGCCATCCATGAGTTAAACAAAATATTTAATCTTTGTGACACTTACATAGAATTTGCATGATAATTTGGAACAGGGTGTATACTATCAAATCCAGTTAAGTTTTTACTGTTTATTTTTTGTTTAAGATTATCATTGAAGAGTAAAAAACAATTTGTAAACTTGTAAACTATTACAATGTGAAACTGTCGTCAGCACTAATTTTACATAATGATAGGTTTAGGTATGCCATTGCATTCACAATATAAAAAATGTATGGGATTTCAGATTAAACATACACCGCTCACATTTTTGTAAATATTTTATTATATCTTTTCATCTGACAACACTAAAGAAATGACACTCTGCTACAATGTCAAGTAGTAAGTGTACAGCCTGTATAACAGTGTAAATTTGCTCTCCCCTCAAAATAACTCAACAAAAGTGAGTACACCCCTAAGTGGAAATGTCCAAAGTGGGTCCAAAATGTCAATATTTTGTGTGGCCACCATTATTTTCCAGCACTGCCTTAACCCTCATGGGCATGGAGTTCACCAGAGCTTCACAGGTTGCCACTGGAGTCCTCTTCCACTCTTCCTCCCCACCTTCTATTTGAGGATACCCTACAGATGCTTATTAAGGTTTAGGTCTGGAGATATGCTTGGCCAGTCCATCACTTTTACCTTCAGCTTCTTTAGCAAGGCAATGGGCATCTTGAAGGTGTGTTTCGGATCATTATCATGTTGGAATACTGCCCTGCGGCCCAGTCTTCGGAGGGAGGGGATCATGCTGTGCTTGTCACAGTACATGTTGGCATTCATGGTTCCTACAATAAACTGTAGCTCCCCAGTGCCAGCAGCACTCATGTAGGCCCAGACTATGACACTCCCACCACCATGCTTGACTGTAGGCAAGACACATTTGTCTTTGTGCTCCTCAACTAGTTGCCGCCACACACGCTTGACACCATCTGAACCAAATAAGTTTATCTTTGACTCATGGTTCAGGGTTCCAGTAATCCATGTCCTTCATCTGCTTGCCTTCAGCAAACTGTTTGTGGGCTTTCTTGTGCATCATCTTTAGAATAGGCTTCCTTCTGGGATTACAGCCATGCAGACCAATTTGATGCAGTGTGTGACATATAGTCTGAGCACTGACAGGCTGGCCTCCCCCTCCCCCCCTTCAACCCTTTGCAGTAATGTTGGCAGCACTCATACATCTATTTCCCAAAGACAACCTCTGGATATGATGCTGAGCATGTGCACTCAACTTCTTTGGTCGACCAAGGCGAGGCCTGTTCTGAGTGGAATCTGTCCTGTGAAACCGCTGTATGGTCTTGCCCACCATGCTGCAGCTCAGTTTCAGGGTCTTGACAATCTTCTTATAGCCTAGGCCATCTTTATGTAGAGCAACAATTCTTTTTTTCAGATCCTCAGAGAGTTCTTTGCCATGAGGTGCCATGTTGAACTTCCAGTGACCAGTGTGAGAAAGTGTGAGACACCAAATTTAACACACCAGCTCCTCATTCACACCTGAGACCTTGTAACACTAACAAGTCATATGACATGGGGGAGGGAAAATAGCTAATTGGGCCCAATTTGGACATTTCTGCATAGGGGTGTACTCACTTTTGTTTAGACATTAATGGCTGTGTGTTGAGTTATTTTGAAGGGACAGCAAATGTACACTTACTACTTTACATTGTAGCAGAGTGTCATTTCTTCAGTGTTGTCACATGAAAAGATATAATAAAATATTTACAAAAATGTGAGGGGTGTACTAACTTTTGTGAGATACTGTATGTTTCTTCACCTACTGGTGGGCTGCTAATATTTACACCATCTGTCCAAAACTTCTGAATTACAATACTATTTAAAGGTGGTGTCAAGGATGTCAGTACTCCTTATTAAGCAAAAATTTTGAAAGGCTTTCAAAATTAAATTACAAGAGAGTTTCAAGTTCAGAAACAGTGCCCATTCAGTAGTCTACTCTGATATGCAGCCATTTTCATTTTAGTAAAAAAAAAAAAGGGGGGAATATTCTTGTTATAGCAAGTTAAAGTGTGCATTAAATGATTACAAACACAATGCACTGTATTTTATTTGAATGAAAAAAGACCAGTACCATTTATTGAGTTAATTGTAAGTACAATTGATCAATACATTTTAACAGATAAAGGTTCCTTTAAGTGATCTGAACATGTCATTATAACTTGCAATCTTGCCAAATCTTCCAGCAAATACTTTATCATTATGCAGAAGGCATTGCATTTAAATGATGTTTTCTACAGAGACAGAAATCATTTAGGAACACTTGGTCCATTGACTCGCAATTGCATAAGTAGAAAATATGTTCTTCTGAGAGCTACAAAAATTTGATATGGATTTTTACTTGTCTGAATTCCTGCAATAGTTAAACACTTCTTAGAAATTCTATATAATCTATAAAACACATTGGATATGATGTGAAATAAGGATAATGCATTGTTGCTGTATATGACTATGTTAATAAAACAGAATGTACTTATTCAAAGTGGAATATAGAAATATGGATTCATGGCCTAAACAAATAGGTTAAAACATTTGCTATTTTAAGGTATTATGTCATACCAGCTCTTTGCTCCTTGGCAATCCGACAAAGCTGGGAATAAGGTGATCAATTGAATGTTGGATCAAATATACAGTTGTATTTATTAAACAAATTAAATGGTTTACTGGTTAAAAATGTTTTACAAGATATTTTTAATATAATATTTGTTTTAAAAACCTGATCCTTTGTTTTGAATATATTTCTCAAGATTATTTTCAACCACTTTTTTTTTTTACTAATGAACATATATATATATGCATCTCCATCCATCCGCACTGTTGTAATCAAAATCATTCAAGCCCTCATTAAAAATCAGGATTATTGTCAAAATGTACAGATTGCCAGCTGTTTGCAGTGAACAAATCAAACAAAAGCAATTAAAACAGCTCAGCACAATGAATGTTTTAAGGGGTTTCCCCATATTCAACTGAAAATACAACATATAATGACTTTCCAGTCTCAAAAGTATTCAATCCCTTCATGGAAAGCATCTTTAGTACTTAGTAGAGCACCCATTTGCCATTATCTCCTGCTGCAAACTAGATACATTCCTGAGAAATCTTAGCCCATTGCTCATGAGCAATGACCCCCAGCTCAGTAATATTCTTGGGTTTGCGTGCTGCAACTGTCTTCTTCAAATCCCACCAGAGATTTCCTTTGGGTTTCAAGTCAGATAATTGTGATGGCCACTGTAGAATATTCCAGGACTTCTTCTGCAACCAAGCCTTGGTGGAATTTGAGGTATGCTTGGGATCGTTGTGTTATTGGAAGGTCCAATGACGCCTAAGCCAGCTTCCTCACAGATTGCATGATGTTTTTTTTTATCCTGTGTAACCAAATCTACAGTCAATGGTTTTTCTTTGCTATTTATTTTTGCAAAATAAATTAATTAAAAAAATATATTTTTAAAAAGTCTGTTTTTTTCTTATGCTCTTTTGACAGCACTTTAATCATTGAGGGTTTTGTTTTTTTTAGCAATTAGTTTACTAAATCAAAATATTTCATTTTATTTAGAAATACTGGTAGGTAGAAAACCAATAATTTAAAGGTCTAAAAATAGAGCAGATAGTTGTTGGGAAAACTCTGAAACTTACTGAAGGTACAAACAAATAAAAAAAAATTAAAGTAAAACATGTCATGTCTTAAAAATGTGTCTTAAACCATTGTTCTTATTCCTCTGACATCACTTTATGCTTAATAATGCCATCTGTATCCACATGCCAATAAGTATTGGCTCAGAGTGATATTGTCTCATTTTACTTTCATGTAAATCAATGGTAAGATCCCACCTTGAAAATGAAGTGCAATGTTGGGAAAGGAAAAAAAAGTATAAAAGAACATTTAATACATTATGAAAAAGTACATGTAAACAGGTTACTAAATTTATTAATGGAAAAGTCAATTTTAGTTTTGAAGAAATGTTATGAATGCAGCATTGTTTACACTAGATACCTTGGAATGTATATGGTTACATTATACAAGTGTATAAAAGTCCAGCACAATCAACTCTCTGGTTACCTACTCATTAACAGTATTGTAGAAAAGGTCAAGTTCACCCTTTGTGACTTCAGTAAAGGAGATTTCACTTAAAGCTGCATAGCAGGTTTCTTTCAAATAAAAGAACAAGAACTTCTGGAATTCACGATTCAGAGTGTGGGCTGTCAAATTAAATAGGGAATTTATAATAAAAGGGAAATTGCTAAGGTTTTAGCAAAGTAAAGAATACAAATATAATAACCAATAAAAAAAAATTGTACATAATAATAGCTAAATCACTGAGACATCCAATTGTATGACAACAATAAATGCATATTTCACCTTCATTTTCATTAAGTAAATAACTAGGAGGAATAATAATTCACTAGAGCATTTGTGCTATAAAATTATCAAACCTATTTATTCAATAAGTATTCATTTGGTTGTTTTAGGAATACTCAAAATTTGTGGATGGAAGCAGGTTCCTGTATACGAAGTGCAGAATTCTCCCTTTTAGTCAGAGGACTCAGTGTGAATTGAAGGGACTCTCCACTGTCTACATAAAAAAAAAACTATTTAACAGATATGCCCGCAATGAAAACATGAATGCATTTAATTATGCATTTTTTTTTAATTTTAAAATAGCCTGTAAAAGCTGTAGATCAATTGCCTGTAATGTTTGCAAGCACTCTATACCTTACCTGGCCCAGATGTTCTGTTGCTGTTCAATCACAGATTTCTCACTGTAGCTAAATGAGAAGTCTTTGCAAGGCAGGTGTTCTGAACAATTGTCTGCCTCTTAAAGTTAGCTCCACTGAGCTGAGCAAACCAGGAAGTAACATGACTGGTTGTCTGATTGACAGCCGTGGGGTTGTAACAAGGTTGATTTATAAAATTGTCACTTTTTTAAAATGAAAAAAGAGGACACATTTTTCACACATTAAGCATTTCAGCAAACTAAAGTGCTTTAGGGGTCTGGAGTGCCCCTTGAGGCTTTTATGTCTGTTTCAAAACTATTACAACACAAAGGCATTTAAACCCTTGCAATGCTAAAAGAAACCTAATGGCAGAATAACAATATGTGCTGAAAACGCACTGGATATTGCACTCTCACAGATATACACCTCATAATGTTCACCTCTACCTTCACATGCCATGTTCATGTCCTGTAAAGCTACCATTATGCTGATTGCAGCAGTAAATAAAGAAGATGTTGTACATATGCAGGGCTCTGATATACTGAGAAATCACACATTTGCACTGCCTGATATTTCTCTACAAATGGATGCTCACACTAATTATGATGCTTTGTTAATAAACCTGTAAACGTTTTCACTGTACTACACTCACAGTAGCTAACCAATCCTTTCTCCCCACAAGTATCACTGCGTCGAAAATTCAACTTCTCAGCACCAAAAATAGAAATCTGCTTCCCCACTAAACCCTATCTATTTGGCGAGTCTGTATTATATATATGCATTCATATACATCTACTTCATTGTCCTCAAGATGTGGCAAATGATGGTGAATTACAGCTCGCGGAGAAAGAAAAGACATCCTTCCTGTAAAGGAAGATTGAGAAGAGAAATAAATACAGTTTGTTAAAAAAAACTTAATTTGTACAAAATAAAATGAAACTGAACTGTGACAAATATGCTATTCTCATTAAGCCTTTTTACCTCATTATCCTTTTTATAACAACAAAGAAAAAAGGAATAATAAACTCCACACTTATTACAAGCTTAATTCTTTTGGTTCTACTGTTTACTAATTCACAGCAAATAAAACTAGAAGCCCAGCTGTAGTTACAGATAGTTAGTAGTTGAGAGGTAAGCAGTAAGCTGTAGCAATGTTAGGATTAATGCAATTTATCAGGTGATAAATTTTATCTAGTCCACCTATAACTGTAACAAAGTCTTGGCTTCAATGTAAATAACTCCCGCACAGTGATCTAACTCACCAATTTACCCATACAAACATATGTATATATGTGGTCAGAACTTAAATCGTATATAAAAATAGAGAAAAGGAATAAAGTTGGTAGTGGTGTGCCAAAACCAACGTACGGGTAGGCTTGTAATAAAGAGGGCCCACCAGAGTAAATGTAATAATCATAGTAAGATATTAGAGGGAGTAATGAGTGAGGTCACTCGAGCAGGAAAATGCATAGGTTAGCAGGGGGGTAGAGTTTATATAGGGAAAACTCCTCCCACAAATTCAGGCCTATGGCCTTTTACTTGTGGTCAGAACTTAAATTGTATATGAAAATAGAGAAAAGGAATGAAGTTGGTAGTGATGTCCCGAAAACTAACATACGGGTAGGCCTGTAATAAAGAGGGCAAAAAGATATAGCAGAAAAACACACTTTATTGAATAATGTCAGGTTACCTTGTGTATCAGTCAGGGGCATGTCACAGACTGGCATCTCATTGCAGGGTACTGGGGACACTCCTACTAACTTTCAGCTTGTCCCTAGCGATTCTCACGCCAGCCGCGATAAACCCTTCTCCTTTTATGACGCGGCTAATGAGTGCCGATGTTATGACGCTAAGAATGCCACGGCCCGCCAATGTGTTCGTTCAAGAACATTTTGGGGGCGTGGTTACCTACCCAAGTGAACACGGTATTTAAAGAGAAACCAGGGAGAAACTCATTGCCCTGTTGTGGCCCTTGTTTGACCCAAGAGCGCGTATTCCGTATTGGTATTCTTGTATTCTGACTTTGGCTTCATTTGACTATTCCTCCTTCTGTGATTCTATAAAAACCACTAGAAATATCGAGACACTAATATTCAGGCATGTCAAGCTGGTCCATCAGGGCAACACCAAAGGACTGAAATTCCAAGGCATCGAATTAATAACATTGGATCAAAGGAAATGCAACCTTGACAAACGCTTGCTAAGGAGGGAGTGCTTTTGAATACATCATCTGAAGACACTCTCCTCTCTGGGACTTAATGAAGGATTTACATTCTCTGCATTTATTAACGACCTCTAAAATATCAATTTTTTGAAAGATTGATTACTAATACAACAGCTAAACTATCCACTATTTTACCAAAACATGCAACCATTTAGTAGATTTTCAGTGACTCAGCATGACAATTATGTCCTAACATCTCCATAATTTTCTTTATTGTTCCATTCATTGGAAAAGAGATTAGGGACCTGTAACCCACTTCACCCTATAATAGACTACAGTGAAAAGATGGAAGTATACCAGGGGTCAAGTCTTGGGAAAAAAAGTGTAGGAACTCACCCAAGATCCACCCCCCCCCTAAAAAAAATGATACGCTCGTATGCATATATATAGTTGGGCGAAGGGGTGACAGTGTGTGGAGGCTGAAAGTAATTGGGGATGGTGATATTGGATGGGGGAGTCAGTGTGTGTATGTATGGGGATGATAGAGTGTGTGTGTGTGTGGGTGACAGTGTGTGTGTGTGGGAGGGTGACAGGGTGCGTGTATGGGGGGAGTGACAGGGTGTGAGTGTGGCGAGGTGACAGGGTGTGTGAGGGGGCTGTGATTGGGTTTGTGGGGGGGGATGTGATGGTGTGTGGGGGGACAGGGTGGGGATGGCTGTGACAAGGTTTGGGTAGGAAGGCTGTAAGAGGGTAGGGGGGCTGTTAAAGGGTAGGGGCTGTGAGAGGGTAGGGAGTCTGTAAGTGGGTAGGGGTCTGTGTGGTGGGTAGTGGGTCTGTATGGTGGGTAGGGGGCTGTGAAGTAGGTAGGGGGGTTGTAAGGTGGGTAGGGGGACTGTGAGTGGGTAGGGAAACTGTGAGTGGGTAGGGGGGCTGTGAGGTGGGTAGGGGACTTTGATGTGGGTAGGGGGGTCTATAAATGGGTACGGGGTCTGTTTGGTGGGTAGGGGGTCTGTATGGTGGGTAAAGGGGTTGTGAGGTGCTTAGGGGACTGAGAGGTGGGTAGGGGGACTGTGAGTGGGTAGGGGGGCTGTGAGGTGGGTAGGTGGTCTGTGAGATGGGTAGGGGGACTGTTAGTGGGTAGAGGGGTCTGTATGGTGGGAAGGAGGTCTGTATGGTGGGTAGGGGGGCTGTGAGGTGGGTAGGGGGCTGTATGGAGGGTAGGGGGGTTGTAAGGTGGGTAGGGGGTTGTAAGGTGGGTAGTGGGACTGTGAGTGGGTAGGGGGCTATAAGGTGGGTAGGGGGGTTGTAAGATGGGCAGGGGGGCTGTGAGGTGGGTAGGGGGGCTGTAAAGTGGGTAGGAGGGTAGTGAAGTGGGTAGGGGGACTGTTAATGGGCAGGGGGCTCACTAACAGACACACACACACACTGACAGATATACACACACAGACTCACTGACAGCCAGACACACACACATCACACATATATACACACACAAATTACCCCCAAACTCTCACAGATTATTTTTTAAAATCCACCCAGCCTCCCTACATTTGGGAGAGCTGGGTGGATTTTTTACCTGGGGTCCAGTGGGGCTGCTGGTCAGTCTGTGCGGTCAGGAAGGCAGGCGGTGGTTAAACTTCAGGCGGGCGACGAGAGAGTACTGATCTGTGACGTCATATTCCGGCTCCTGTCATCACTCTGCGGCACGCGAGGGAGCTGAGCAGGGAAAGCTCACAGATCAGCGCTACCTTGCTGCCCACCTGCCCCCGAGGCTATCAAGGCAAATGCCTTCTTTGATTTGCGGTCAAACAAGTCCTGCAGGACCACAAACGGGAACTGCATTCCTGCTGTGGAAAAAGTGCAGGAACGCCGTTCCCATACGTTCCTGCAGGACTCGAGCCCTGATGTATAATCTAAGTTTCTATTTACAGAACAGATGCTAGAAAGGATTCATAAAATAGCACTACTTGCGAGAAAGATTGCAGAATTCCAGAGGGCGATCTATAGCCCCTTTGTCAAGAAAATACACTCTGTACCGTTTGATATTTACTGGTATTTTCATATATATCGGCACAATCACAAGTAGTCCACCCCCATAACATAATTTATAATTGTTTAGTATATTCCTATCTATTCTAACTACTTGTAAATTATCGATAAACTGAAGGGTTAAAGTGGATACTCCGCCCGAGAATCACATACATCATTCCTTACTGGGAACTACCACGAGGGTTAAACTTGCAAGATCCACCCACCTAGATGATGTGATTTTGAAGGATGGAACATAAGACGTGATAGGTGGAAGCATGATGAAGGTGGGATCGATCACCATTTAAAACTCAAGGCTTTCAGTTTGAAAGCTGACCCCCTGACGAAGGTGCCATTAGAGCACTGAAACGTTCGTCAGGACTTTATTTTTATTTACTTTTCACCTAGCACTTTACTCACTATGCACTAAGCTTGATCACCACTTTTGTTTTTATTGTGAGGATGCTCCAGGGGGTTAAGTTAGGGTTTACCTATGTATACTAGGACATAGGAGACTCCATTGCAGTCGTTTATACAGGAACTTATACCATTAGCATCCATGAAAGTGCTATAGGATATCAGTATCAGACACTAGGTGCAGAAGATTATATTTATTTCTGTTTTTTGCACCCTTGAAGGTATTTTGGCGATTGTATTTAATAGTCCAGACTATAGATAAGTGGACATTTTGCACGATAAGGAGCAGCATATATGTATAGAAATAGGCACTTTTAAGCCTCCAGATAATTGCTACCTTTGATTACCACCCTACTTATCTAAGCTGTGTCTAAAGTTATTTATCTTCTCCCTCCTTCTATCTCTCCAGATTTTCCAATATCATCTCGCTTTGTACTTATCTTACAATTATTACCCTAGATTTCTACTCTAATAACCCCCTGTATTACCATTAGAGCCAATTGACAATTTAGGTGATCTCTCCCTATTATAAGCCTGTCTTTTCAACGATTGTTCCAGATTATTTGGACATTGTAATTTTGAAATGATTCTGAAGGGATGTTTATTATACTAATAGGGAATATATAGAGACACAATATATCACCTGTTGGCTTGATTTTTTTAGAATCACTATATCTAAT